TCATTAAGCCTATCTACAGTAGGTGTAAGGCTGGCTTATTAGATATCATATGGCAAAACGTTAAACACACCTGACCTTACACCTTGATAGGCTTACGGATGTTGGATGAGAAGACTTGACTCATGATCAGTATTGTAGTTAATTGCAATTATGTTCAGTAGTGTTAAGGTCAGGGTTCTGTATAGGCCAGTAAGATTCCTCCACATCAAACTCATCACACTATCTTTATAGAGCCTACATCATCTAGGTGCAAGGCTGGCTTTCTTAGGTATTGCATGGAAAAAAGATTACACACACCTGACCTTACACCTTTATAGACTTACTGGTGTTGGATGATAAGACTTGACTCATACTCGGTGTTCTAGTTATTTGCACATATGTTCAGTAGGGTTGAGGTCAGGGTTCCATGTAGGTCACTAAAGTTCCTCTATATCAGACTCATCATATTGTCTTTATGGAGCCTACATCACTAAGCCTATTTAGATGCAAGGCTGACTTCTTTGATATGATATGGCAAAAAGTTTTACACACCTAACCTTGTACCTTCATAGGCTAACAGATGTTGGATGAGAAGACTTGACTCATAATCGGTATTGTAGTTAATTGCAAAGATGTTCAGTAAGAAGTCAGGGTTCTGTGTAGGCCACTAAGGCTCCTCCACATTAAACTCACCAAACTGTCTGTATGGAGCTTACATCACTAAGCCTATCTAGGTGTCAAGCCTCGAACACACGATGAGAATATTGGATGAATGATTGTCCTTTTTTTTTTTTTGCATGCTAGTCTCCATATCAAAAACAAGAGGTTACTCAACTAATGAAAATTCTCGTAATACAGAATAGAATTTTGGAAGTGATATAATGTATTGTATTGTATTTTTATTGGATTTTCGGACAAAAACTGTACTGATTAACCTCTTCACGCCGGCTGCACACACAAATGTGCGGCCTCCTGGCGTCTGGGCCTAGATGCCGAGCGGCGGCACATTTGCATTCAAATATAAAAAAACATATGTGCTGAGAGCGCGCGCCCTGCACGCTCCCAGCACACATGTCCGGTACTCACGGAAAGGTCCTGGTCTTCTCTTTCGATCAGGACCTTTCTCGATCATGTGACCTCCGTGACGGCGCATCACGGAGGTCACATGATCCACAAACCCCGCCCATCCCATCTCCCGGCTTCTGAAACTCTTAAAGGGCCAGGAGGCGCCGGCGTGAAGGGGTTAAACAAAAACTGCAATCTGATATCATATGAGAAAAATGTGTTTGTCCCTTTGGATAATTTCAGATGCACTGTTATGATCGGTTCTTGAAAGCTGTGTACTAACGATCAGATTATCGCACAATAACTTCAAAAGCTGTATTTTTTTTCAATTTTCTGATCATATGTGAGGTTTTAGGCAGGTTTCTTAGACATTATTTGGCAAAAAGTTTGCACAAACCTGACCTTACAGCTTTTTAGGCTTAGTGATGGAAGAGAAGACTTGACCTGCCATTGGTGTTCTTGTTAATTGCAAAGATGTTCAGTGGGGTTTGATGTCAGGGTACTGTGTAGGTCATTGAAGTTCCTCCAAAACTCTACGTTTTCTTTATGAAGCTGACAATGTGGACGGGGACCCAGTCGTAACAAATATTGTTACCATGAGCTTGGAAGTGCACAGTTGTCTAAAATGTTTGTAAGATGAGGCAATTGAAATCTTGAAATCATCATTCCAGTGACTCTCAATTGAACTAGAATCTACTCTTTGAACCTTTGATGGATCTCCAAACATTAGTAAGAAAGCTTTCACTCAAGAAATACCATGCTAGTAAAAACATTCTCCTGGATGCAAGCTACACTGTATTTACCGAATGTCCACTCCTACAACCGAACTTATGCAGGCCATACACGGGTCGAATTCCGAAGACTTTGTCCAAAAATCAAAAACGTTCTTCGGTCGGTTCGGTAATCCAATGCTGCCATCAATGATTTTGAAAATCAGCCGACCAAGTCCTAAAGTTCACCCCATATAACAGATGAAACTTCTGTTCCTTCCAGGTCATGGCTCATGCGCATATTCTTTTCAGAAAAACGATCATATGATTTGACCATCACTGAGTTGCAAATCGGTCGTTTTTCACGAATTTTCCAACATGCCCGATCACCGAAAAGGGGAGGTACCACGAAAATCGGCTGGTGCCATTGACCCACTAACAGAGTGAAAATCGTTCATTAGTCGACATTAGTCAAAGTATAAATACAGGTGAATCTCGAAAAATTAGAATATGGTGCAAAAGTTCATTTATTTCAGTAATGCAACTTAAAAGGTGAAACTAATATATGAGATAGACTCATTACATGCAAAGCAAGATAGTTCAAGCCGTGATTTGTCATCATTGTGATGATTATGGCTTACAGCTCATGAAATTGCATTGCTTTTCCTTTCTTCTACTTTCATCTGGTGATCTGGCCAGCAAGTCTGTTGTTTTTCAAAAGAACAAGTTCTCTTCCAGATGATCAGTTTACAGGGACGAGACAAACCATTTATCACTGTCAGGGGTGCTCACAGTGATCTGCTTTTATGTATTGTATGTAAAACGTTTATCTCGAAAGGGGAAAAAACAGTTTGCTGTAACTGTGTATAAAGTGTGAGCTGAAATTTGGCTTCAATTTGTTAGTGTATTTAAAGCGGAGCTCCACCCAAAAGGGGAAGTTCCGCTTTAAGGACTGCTCCCCCGCTCCCCATTAAGAATTGACACCTTTGGAGAGCGGGTACCCGAATTTGACAGGTACCCGCTTCCACTTCTGGTCCAATCGCCTATGCCAGGGGTAGGCAACCTGCAGCTCTCTAGCTGTTGTGGAACTACATTTCCCATGAGGCATTGCAACATTACAAAACTGACGGTTACAGCTATGACTTGCAGAGGCATGATGAAACTTGTAGTCCTGCAACTAGAGGTTGCCTACCCCTGGCCTAGGCGATCGGAAGTGGAAGGTGTCCTCCCTCCCTGTAGTCTTTTGGGACATGTGACAGGTCCCAGAAGACTACAGAACCATTCATGAAGCACAGAGCTACTTGCACATGCGCAGTGGGTATCCCGGCTATGAAGCCGCAAGCTGTCACATCCGGGTGCCCACACTGAAGATGCCGGACTAATCAGGACGGCCGGTGAAACGGGCTGCGGGGGACACACCACGGAACCGAGGGACAGGTATGCGGTTGTTTTTTTAAAAATCTGCAGCTACAGTTTTTGTAGCTGCTGACTTTTATTTTTTAACAGGGCGAGTGGAACTCCGCTTTAAATCTGCTAGTACGTTTAACACTCCCTTCCCCCCAGAGTGTCAATGTTGCTGTCTTCTGTGCCGCCTGTGCTCCTTCAGCCAGAGTGGGGGCGCTCTAATACAGGAGGTGTGTTACTGGCCAGAGACCAGGTGAAAACAGAGAAGAAAAGCCTAAAAAAGAAAATGAATGCAGCCACCACATCTAATGATAAAAAAGCTGCAACGATTACATTTTTTATTTTGGGTTTGATACATCTTTCAAGAAAATATGGATTTTGTTCTCATTCGTATCTCCCATTATTATCAACATACATACTAGATTCCATTTTTAAATGAAACATTAAAAAAATGAATTTATTATCACCATAGCAACAAAACCATACGCTCTTCACCAATCTCCCATTCTTCCACTATTTCCTCTATTCACATGCAGTGTATTAATAAACACCATTGAACATTATGCTTCACTTAAGAATATTCAATTAGGTTCTCCCATTCAACACATACACACTGCATTCTCTTGTATCGTGATTACATCCATTAAACCTTCATCCATTGCAGTATCCATTCGCACTCCTCACCCTTTTTCGCCCTCTTCACTATTTTTCCTATTGACTGTTGCATTTAAACTACATTCCATTGAAAGATAATCTAATTAGGACCGTTCACTCATCACATACACCCTGCATCCACTACTTATGTCAACACACCCAATAAAACTGAACTCTGGGAACAAAAACGTTCCTTTAAATATATTCCTCAATAGCCACACAGGATATAAATCCACTTTGTGTGCACCAAATGTCTTTGCAAACCCAGATATTACTTTATAAAAGTAGCAGTGACATCATCGCTGTGCTGTACATAGACTGTGTAGAGAGCAGAGCTGTGGCAGGGGCCCAGCAGGCTCCACTCACAATAGGCTGCCTGCAGAAATGTACAGGAGGGGGGGGAGGAGACAAGACCAGTCACCCTGCACAAGGAGAGAGAGCAGCAGTGACCGGTCTGTATTACATGGTTTGTGCTGAGGAACTGTGCTGGGCTGACTGGGTGGGTGGGTGATTGTGTGGGCAAGGAGGAAGAAGCCCCCTCCAGTAGATTGTGCCCCATGGTGGATAGTAGTGGTAGACCCTAGTAGTGAGGACTTGGGCTACTACCCTTTTGATACGGTCTTATGGTCATTTCAATGAGAAGTCTTGGGTAGGATAGAAGGAGTGCCCGGTGTCCACAAAACTGCAACTTTTGATGTATGGTTCATGAGATGTTTTTTAAAAGTATAATCATGTACATCAAGCCAACGCATTTCAGGGGAATGAACTTCTCCTTCTTCAGGGCTATTGCTGCATGCTATTAGAGGGGAATGGTATATGATATATTGATTAGGAGGCTTCAGAAACAAAGTATGGCAGAGTGATGGCCACGGATGCAGAGGCAGCAAAAAGGAAAAAAAAAATCCCACAATCCTAGTATTCTTCCAACTGACCAACAATATAAGGAGCATTCTTCCACTGACCAACAATGTAAGGATCATTCTTCCCACTGACCACCAGTGTAAGGAACATTCTCCCCACTGACCACCAATGTAACGAGCATTCTCCCCACTGACCACCAATGTAAAGGTCATTCTTCTTACTGACCTCCAATGTAAAGGGCATTCTTCTTACTGACCTCCAATGTAAAGGGCATTCTTCTTACTGACCTCCAATGTAAAGGGCATTCTTCTTACTGACCTCCAAAGTAAAGGGTGTTCTTCCCACTGACCACCAATATAAGGAGCATTCTTCCCACTGACCACCAATGTAAGAGTATTCTCCCCACTGACCACCAATGTAAAGGAGGCATTCTTCTTACTGACCACCAATATAAAGGTGTTCTTCCCCCTGCCAACCAATGTAAGGAGCATTCTTCCCACTGACCACCAATATAAAGAGCATTCTTCCCACTGACCACCAATATAAGGAGCATTCTTCTCTACTGACCACCAATGTAAGGAACATTTTGCCACTGACCACCAATATAAGGAGCATTCTTCCTACTGACCACCAATGTAGGGAGCATTCTTGCCACTGACCATAAAATTAAGCGGCGTTCCCAATGTTAACCAATTTAAGGAGCATTCTTCCCACTGACCATCAATGTAAGGAGCACCACTGTGTGTAAGGAGCATTATTTCCACTGACCACTACTATAGGGAGCATTCTTGCCACTGACCATAAAAGTAAGCTGCGTTCTTCCCAATGTCAGCCAATGTAAGGAACATTCTCCCCACTCACCACCAATGTAAAGTGTGTTCTTCCCATTGACCACCAATGTAAGGAACATTTTCCCACTGATCACCAATGTAAGGAACATTCTTACCCCACAAAAGTAAAGACTTCACCAATGTAAGGAACATTCTTTCTATTGACCACAAATGTAAGGGGCATTCTTCCCACTGATCACCAATGTAAGGAACATTCTTCCCAATGTCACCAATGTAAGGAACATTCTTTCTATTGACCACCAATGTAAGGGAGCATTCTTCCCATGACACCAATGTAAGGAACATTCTTTCCCACTGATCACCAATGTAAGGAGGGCGTTCTTTCACACTGATCACCAATGTAAGGAGCATTCTTCCCACTGACCACCGATGTAAGGAGCATTCTTCCCACTGACCACAAATGTAAGGAGTGTTCTTCCCCATGTTCACCGATGTAAGGAGCAATCTTCCCACTGATCCAATGTAAGGAACATTCTTTCTACTGGCCACCAATGTAAGGGGCGTTCTTCCCACTGATCACCAATGTAAGGAGCATTTTTCCCACTGACACCAATGTAAGGAGTATTTTTCCCACTGACCACCAATGTAAGGAGCATTCTTTCCACTGATCACCAATAGAAAGAACATTCCTCCCACTGACCTCCAATTAATTGGTTTCAGCAGGTGTTCCTCAAGACCTGAAAATAATTTTCAGGGTTCCTCTGGAGCAAAAACATTGAGAAAAGCTGTTTTACATTACACATGAACAATTCACAACCTTTCTCTTTCTTTGAAAACCCGCTACTTAATTACAAGCCACAGCTTTGATATCACGTCGTTACATTGTACATTCTCTATTCACATGGATAAACAAGCGCTCTCTTCTAAGCCCATACTGTTTTCATATGGAATACTCATCTTTTGAGATGTTCAGTCCAGGCCATATTTCATTCTTCTTTATCTATTGAGATCATTTCTATAGATGTCAGAATCTAATCTACCTATTAATTTTCCCATTAAAAATGCTCATTCACAAAAATGCTTCTTCTGTATTTATTTTTATATGGGTTTGAGTTCATGTGGTTTCTTATGAATGCTTTGGTTGGTACATTTTATTGTGAAATTCTCATTGAAATAATCTGAATCGATGCATCATAGTCCATTCATTTGTATAGATGGTATACCAGGGGTCGGAAAACTCTGGCATGATCATTTAAATAGGAAACTTGAATAGAGAGAAACTCAGAGCCTGCCTTTGCTAAACTCCTGATTTAAGTGGTAATAAACCCAACAGCAAATATTTATTATATCGCAGCTTACCCATTCTTAGATGTGATGGTTGCATTCATTTTCCTTTTTTTTAGGCTTTCTTTCCTGGTGATATTGCCAGTGAGTCTGTTGTTTTTCAGCAGAACAAGCTCTCCTGCAGATGTAACAGTTACAGGGTTGAGACCAGGGGAGGACTGACCATTTGAGCACTTGGGCACTGCCCGAGGGCCCAGGGTCAGTAGGGAGCCCCATGAAATGCCCCTGGTACCTTGGCTTCCAACCATGTGACCACCGTGGCAGCTAATCACATTAGTCTCATGATTGGGAAGCCTGTTATGTAATTTCATAGCATAAAATGCAGTTTTTAATGTGTGAAAACTTGTGCACAGAGTAGCGGACTGACCCTTTGGAAACTTGGGCACTGCCCGAGGGCCTGGGGTCAGTAAGGGGCCCCATGAGATGCCCCTGGTAATTTTCATAGGCTCTTTTTGGGTATGCTTTGAGTGTGGGCAAGGACACAGGGGCCCCATGATCCCCTATTGCCCGGGGGCCCCATGAGTTGTCAGTCCGCCCCTGGTTGAGACAAACCGGTTACCACTGACAGGAGTGCTTACAATGATCAGCTTTTATTTATTTATGTAAAGCCTCTATCCCAAAAAGAAAAAAAAAACTGTTTGCTGTAACTGCCTTTTAAAGTGTTAGCTGGAGTTTGGTTTTGAATTGTTAGTGTATTTAAATCTGCTAGTCCGTCTAATGGTCTCCTCTCCTCAGACTGAGAATGCTGCTGTCCAAAGGTGCCCCCTGTGCTCCATCATCCAGAGCGGGGGCACCCTGCTACATGAGATGTGTTACTGGCCAGATCACCAGGTTAAAACAGATGGAAAATTCCTAAAAAAGAAAATGAATGCAGCCATTGCATCTAAGGGTTGAGCACTCCCCTGTTCGGTTTGTGGTCGAACATTCGAACCTAATGAAAGTTCGACCGCAAACTTCGAACAGCGATAATTCACTAAGTAGTATCATACTGCATCTGAGTATCCACAGCTACTAAAATACTGCATGAGTTGTATTATGAACAGGGGTGGACTGACAACTCATGGGGCCCCCGGGCAATAGGGTATCATGGGGCCCTTGTGTCCTTGCCCAAACTCAAAAAAGCCTATGAAAAAGGTACCAGGGGCATCTCATGGGGCCCCCTACTGACCCCGGGCCCTCGGGCAGCGGGCAGCTCCCAAGTTTCAAATGGTCAGTCCGCCCCTGATTATGAAGTAATGCAGTATTTTAGTAGTGAAAACATTCTTTCATATTTCAGCTGTCAGCGGAGTTCCCCACTGACAGCTGAATATAAAAAAGATTGCCGACAATTTAAAAAAAAAAAAAAAACAAAACCTCCCCATCTATACCAAGCCGTTTGGGTTTTGTATGGATTTTGAGTGCAACCCCCATGCCAAAATGTTTAAAAAAATGATGTCGGGTCCCTCCCAAAATGTATACCACACCCTTATCTGAGCATGCAACCCAGCAGGTCACAAAAGTGGGGAAACAAGCGAGCCCCCCCCCCAAAGCCATACCAGGCCACAGGCTTTCAACATGGGGGTGCTTTGGGTCAGGGGGGCTCCTCCCACTAAAGCACCTTGTCCCCAAGTTGATGAGAACAAGGGCCTCTTCCCTACAACCGTGGCCGGTGGTTCTGGGAGTTTGCGAGAAGGGGGCTTATCGGAATCTGGAAGCCCTCTTTAACAACGGGGACATCATTCACATAAAAAAAAACTGTAGTGCAATGACAGGAGACAGTCTTTGACAATTCTGTTATTAAAACGAAAAATGTAAAACATGTTCCCCAATGTAGATCCAACATCAATTACGATGTCCACCACCGCCTCGAAAAGAAAAAAAAATGCACCGCTCTAGACGCTGGCTCCCGCCGTCTGACGGCTGAGCTGGGATGACAGTTCTTAAATACTGTGATGATGTCACAAGGGGGCGTGGTCACCCTGTTGATATCGCTGGGTGACTCGCCCCCTTGTGACATCATCATGTGCTGTGATTGGCCAAAGTGTTGCATCTGACCTGTGCTGTATGTGTGTTCGCCGAACACACGATCGTACGATTTTCGAGTGGAACATCAAGCCCAACTCTACTATGGATAGGTAAGCCACAATATATTACATGTTTGGTTTTGAGTTTATTACCAATTTAATTGGCTGTTTACTGGAACGGAGAGTTTAACATGCAGCCAAATGTCCTGATCTGTATACTTGTTTTCAATCATTGAAAGTACTGAAGCCAACAGACCCATATTTCAGCCATGTGTGGATGAGAAGCAGTGACTTCCAATGGCAGATTCCATACATCCCCAGTGGAGGATTCCTATAGGCTAGGTTCACATCTATGCAGATCTGGACGAGGGTGCGTTTCCCAACGTGCCAACTGATGAATCTAAAATATAACCTTTATTCAAATATATTAAAAAAGTATGCTCAGCTGTAATTAATAGCATCTGTTGAGGTACTGAGCATGTGCGGGGGCCATTTTGATGGTGTCTATTGAGGAACTGAGCATGTGCGGGGGCCATTTTGATGGCTATCTCTATATATAGAGGTGAAACAAACGATAGGTGCCATTTTACCACCATGTGCAGCTGAGCACAATGCCCAGCCATTATGTGACCCATTTTCATTCTTTATACTCTTTACAAAACTGTTTTTTGGAGCAAAACATGTAGAGTCCTTTTGTTTTCTTTGGGAGAACTTTTTGAATGCACGTGGTATTCACTCCTCTCCCCCCCCCCCTTTTTTTTGGAGAGGTCTGTACTGCGTTTTACAGTGCATCATTTGCATTCCTCAAGACAGTGAGATATTTTTGGTGGATATGGTGATGTATGGGGCTTGTCCATGAGAGGCTGACATTTCAGCCCATGGATGAGTGTACCCGTATTACATATCTGTAGAAAGCTAGATTATACTATCTAATTAGCATTGTCCATGGGGTAACTCCATTTCCTTCATAGAGATTATATATTCAAGCTGATAGGCTTATGATCAAACTACAGTGTCTTCTTGTATGCCGTCCCTTCATCTAAAGCGGTATGGTATTTGGTCTGGTGTTATTAACCATTTGGATGTAAGGTAAACAATTGCAATGGTATCCAGTCATCTTGTGTGCTGTACATTCCGCTCCCATAGACATTAATTACAGCTGAGCATACATTTTCTATATATTTGAATAAAGGTTATTTTAGATTTGTCAATTGGCTAGATGGTGCGTAGGGAAATGTACCCTTGTTCAGCATAGATTTATTTACCAAAAATTATGATTTACAATTAAGGCTTAGCTCAATGCTTTTTTAATGCATTGCATTTTTTGCATTTTTTTTTTTTTGTCAGTAGTAAAGTTATGACTTTGATGCCACTTTGATGTGACTTTGGCTGGGTGCAACTTGGATGCAACTTTGACGTTCGTTTTTTTTTTTTTTTCTTCCCAACTGGAAAGTATAACAGTTCTGTTCATGTAGAGCAACTCTGATGCGATTAGAGTGCCAGAGTTAAAGTTGCATCCAAGTTGCACTACAGGAACAGAACTGTTATACTTTCCTATTGGCAAAAAAGTGGCATCAGGGTTGCACCCGTCCAAAGGGGCATCAGAGTTGCACCCGTCCAAAGGGGCATCAGAGTTGCACCCGTCCAAAGGGGCATCAGAGTTGCACCCGTCCAAAGGGGCATCAGAGTTGCACCCCCGTCCAAAGGGGCATCAGAGTTGCACCCGTCCAAAGGGGCATCAGAGTTGCACCCGTCCAAAGGGGCATCAGAGTTGCACCCGTCCAAAGGGGCATCAGAGTTGCACCCGTCCAAAGGGGCATCAGAGTTGCACCCGTCCAAAGGGGCATCAAATTCAATACTTCCTAATGGCAAAAAAAGGGGCATCAAAGTTGCACCCGTCCAAAGGGGCATCAGAGTTGCTCCCGTCCAAAGGGGCATCAGAGTTGCACCCGTCCAAAGGGGCATCAAATTCAATACTTCCTATTGGCAAACAAAGGGGCATCAAAGTTGCACCCATCCAAAGGGGCATCAGAGTTGCTCCCGTCCAAAGGGGCATCAAATTCAATACTTCCTAATGGCAAAAAAAGGGGCATCAGAGTTGCTCCCGTCCAAAGGGGCATCAGAGTTGCTCCCGTCCAAAGGGGCATCAGAGTTGCTCCCGTCCAAAGGGGCATCAGAGTTGCACCCGTCCAAAGGGGCATCAAATTCAATACTTCCTATTGGCAAAAAAAGGGGCATCAAAGTTGCACCCATCCAAAGGGGCATCAGAGTTG